AATGTAGTCGTTGAATTAATTTATAAAGTAGTTAGGTTTTGATGGTTTGTTTTTTCTTTAGGTTTTTGTTGGCGGGTACGCGAAAATTGAGCGTATAATTTATGGTTAAAAAAATGACAAAACGAATAGCTTGTTGATTAAAGCAGCTTGTGAACTGACAGTTCATATTAATTTGTTTTTTGCCTAATTGAATGATGAGAATCATTTTGTTATAATTTAATTTACCATCATGTAATTCTTAGTTTTATTAACCTTTAAGCATCGAGCATATTTATATAGAGCGGTATTGTTATTTGTTTCAATGAAGCATCTTAAAAATAAAAAAAAACATGGTTGTATCGCTCTTCTCAACGATATTTTTAACACCGATGTTTTTCATGCAGATATCGATGTTTTAACATATCGATGTTTTTTCAGAACGATGTTGCATCGCTACTAATATTGTAAAGGCGAAAGTTTGCGAGTGTGTGTATTATTGTTACTTCTTCACGTCTAAACGGCTGGAGCGATTTTAATAAAATTTGGTATAGGTAGCCGACACTCTGGATAAACACATAAGCTACGTTTTACTGCAGGAAAATATCCCTAATAAACCGCGGGTAACACCACGGGGCACAGCTAATAATTATATATATCTATACTAATATTATAAAGCTGCAGATTTTGTTTGTTTGAACGCGCTTAATCTCTGGAACTACTGGTCCGATTTGAATGATTCTTTCAGTGTTGGGTAGTCCATTTATCGAGGAAGGCTATAGGCTAATTTTTTTTCTAAATTAGGGATCTGTAATAAAATTGCTATTTTGTAACAGAAGGTGTAAAATCGAAAACCTATTTTTGCGTGCGCTGCAAAAACTATTGACAATAGAACAAAATGATGTACTACGGGTTTGTAGATCCCATTAAGACCTACAAAAAAGTCCGCGAGAACATATATCTAGCTATCATGGTTTAATCACAATAACCGATTTTTTGTTCAAAGTAATTATTAAATCGTCTGAAGAATAAAAAAACTACGTTAAATATGTATCGTTATATTAAAAACACAAACAACCCTTAATTTTCACCCCTCTACCACCCATATTTTTATGGCGATACGAAGTTCGCTGGGTCAGCTAGTTATAAAATAAAACGAGGGCGAAGTATTGAAAAACTTATATGTTTTAATTAAATAGTTACATTAATCTTTACAGTTTCTCCCTAGCTAGTGACACAAATTAGCATCGATGCATTTTATTGGTCAAAATTAATAATATATTAAAAAATAATTTATCTACACAACTGATAAACAAATTGATAACCATTTGAACCTGCTAGTCAATAATAATAATTATTATTATCATAAAGCGAAGAAGAAAAACGAGACTTCAGTGTTGCCAGTACGAAAAAATGTAAAAAAAAATATTTAAAATCAGCTCGTGAGTGTTTATGAATAAAAATGCGAGTTACGGAGTGATATTTTTCCATACTGGCAACATCTGTTCACAAACTGAACGTACATAATTTTCCCTTATATCGATCAATACTAAACAAAATGAGGATTGTAAAATTATAACAATAATAACATACATATAAAAATGGAATATTTTGTACGCAACAAACACACACACGTTGTAAAGCGCAGGGTTTGGACTGGACGCGGTGTACACTCGACATCACATCAGGTGACCACAGATTGTGAACTTCCTTCACCGATTTCATTTATTACACTTTTAACTTCGAAAACGTTAGGTGGAATTAGAAATACAATAGGATTTTACAATTTACAGATTACATGGTGTCGACTGTACATAACTATTTTCATTATCATATGAACTTGCCTTTTTCCATAACGCAAATGGTGCATATAAGATAGTTCTGCTCTAAACCCCCACCAACTTATTACAAGACGTGGACTAAAGTTAGTCTTCGTTTAAACCAAATTGTGTCTCTGTCTTCTTTTTAGCAAATAAAAGTGACAGCATATTTTTTAGATCGGGTTTAACTTGAGCGAACGTTTTTTTAATAAGGCTATCAGGCTTAGTCAAGAACAGAAATATACTCAAAGTCAAAAAATTCAATAATATTAGTGACGATTCGAGCTAAAACGACACACATCTCAAACAGCAAAGGTCTTTAATTACAAACAAGGACAGCAACAAAAAAAAAGTTGTTTTTTTTGGCGGGATTTCATCGAGTGCGGTTGGCGTCTTGTTTAAATTATTCTTAAATTTGTTCGTAGTGGATATTGTGAAATAAAATTGAAGAATTAGTGGAATCTTTAAAATATACGCTATTCCGGTCAAGTGGACGTGAGAATTTTATTGTAGTATTGACTACCTCACAGAAGCTTATCGAAAAAGCCAACTCGATATATTTCGTGCCAAACACTCCAAGAAGCATTAGAATGCGTCAGACCCACATTCTAATGTGAAAAAAAAGGAAGATTAATAGAAAAATAAGACGATGGCTGCATGGCTATGCCTTTGCCTTTCTCAATAGAGAGGAATAGAACTAAAAAAAAAAAAAGTTGAAGTCTAAAATCGTCAAAGGCAAGTCCAGAATTCCTAGCTTTCACTGCCATATCACTCGCATGATACCGACACATTGTAGTTTTGATCACACTATTATATTTTAATAGTAAATATCTCACCGCTTCACAAAATCTATTAAACTAGATTTTATTGAACAATTCATCGATATAATTCAAGTGTACGCTACAGCTAAAACATTTACACACTGTAAATAAATCACAATTATTGACGGTATCCGGCTGCGAACGATACGCACGACACACGTTTGAATTTATTATTTATAAAACATTATTTTTTATAAAGTCAACAAACTTTGTGACAAGTATTTTTCCTTTTTTTGTCTGTGGCTTTCTCCGTTTTACACAGAAATTTCGCCAATGTCGCCGAGACACGAGATAGACTGCTCGGACAGGATTAGTTTTAGATCAGGTTTAAGTAAGCCAACTTATTTTTATTATTTTTATGAAGTTAACAAAGTTAGCACTAACTTTCGACAGATGCGTACCCTTAGCACGAACCAATATCGAATTCGAAAAGTTTGCGAGTGCGAAATGTCACTGTCAAATTTTGTATGAAAACTTGAAAGCAGCTTCAGAACTGACTAAAGGAGAAGTAAAAATCGGTTCACATTTGACGTTTAACTAAATCAAATACATCTATTCGTGTAATGTATACCGTTTTCGTATCGCCACCGTCAATAGGGTATTAGACAAGTTTTAGAAATCGATCTTACGTTATTGATTAATGTTTATGGAGGTCGTAAAAAGTGGATATTCATCATTCTGTTGTGTATTTCAGTAAAAATAACCAAATAAAAAACTCCCATTTTCAAGTTGCCCCGAAAACGTTTCTCTGGACAATATGGCGTCTTACTAGCGTGTGACGTCACACGACTGTTATTAAGACGTCAAACGATACAATGTAATGTCACTGTAACCGGAAGTTTACTTGCGTGTGACGTCATTTTAGGCTCCGCCAATCCCATGCGTTTTGAGTCACGTGACAATAGATAAGAAAACTATTATCTTTTTCGTTAGTTTGAATATTTTTTTTGTAAAAATAATAAAAACCCCTGCCAATATTCATTCTAAACACAGATGCTAACAATTGGCACTTTATTTTCAACACTGTCAAATACCCTATTTCCATGGCAACTAAGCAGCGCCTCTACCGGACGTAAGAACAAACTAACTCGTTCCCGACCAAATAGCGGATGCGGGTTCGAATGCCGACTTTTTCTAGTAAAATCTTAACCTTAGAGCTTTTAAAGTTCATTAATTATAAACTTTTTGTTCGACTACTAATAACCTTGGGGGGCGTTCATAAATTACTGAGATTTTTAATGGGAGGAGGGGGTCGAGTCAAATCTCATCTAATCTTACGTTGGAGAGAGGGGGGGGTCTCGGCAAATATCACGAAATTTTTTTTCACAGTAGTATCTATTAGTATTCTATTGTTAAATTTTTATTACACTTATAACTCTCAGTAACATTGATTACTAGTCTTAACCAGTCGTAAATAAAAACACGAAGCATTTTTTTTTCTTTTTGCAATAACAATCCAAGGCGTTTACGAAAGAAACCCACATTTTGAAAAATCTCACGTGAGATTGGGGGATGGGGGAGGGGGTTGAATAAAATCTCACGACATCTCACCAGGGGGGGAGGGAGGGACAGAAAATCCAAAAAAACACCTCACGTAATTTATGGACGCCCCCTTGTCTGGTTGACTTCTGTCTAGCTTGTTTTGTAGCCTTTAAAGTATTTGTCGCCATAAGTTCGCAGCCGGACGGAGTGGAGGGCGACGCACATTATAATTATTACAAAACTGGTATCTAAGGCACGTTTAACAACTTGAGACCGCACACCGTAGCCGTCTCATGATGCTGGCTCACACATAGTTCAGTAAATTATCAACCATTTTATATTAAATCTTTATCTTATTAGATTATCATAATTTACGGATATTGACTTTCCATTTTCATTTATATACATTTGGCCACAATAGGGATGATGACTATTTTATTTTCTTCGTTCATCAGGTAGATCATCAAAAAGTATTGGACACGTATTTTTTCTTTTTTCACATAATATAAACATTGCAGAGATATATTGATTTGAAAAGTCGCATGACGTCACGTTTTGGTACAATTTTCACGTGACGTCATGAGCCCCTACTCCCAAAATTTGACGCGCTATAACTTTGTCATTTTTTGGTTGATTGCCCAAAGAAAAAATATGTGTCCATTATTTTTTGATCATCTAACTGACGGACTAAATAGAATTTCGTTTACTGTACCCCGTCATCACCCCTATTCTTCTTAGAGAGTTATAACATTTAACGTAATGAAATCATTGTCATCTCGAACAAATATATTATTAAGTCGTTTCATTTCTTACTTTATATAAGATTTAATTTTTTATTTTAATTATTTACCGAACTATGCATTTCCATAACTACTTTACACATTAGTAGCTCCGCCACATAATGTTTAGAAACTAGAAAATTTAGTTACATATTCTAAGAATCTGAAGTTTATTTCTTAAAAAACAAAGCCTCGTAGTCGAGACGAATGTTACTGGTTTGGAAATATTTAAACCAACATATTAATGTATCATCTGGTGATAAGTACAATATGAATTTTCTGATATCGGCGGAGCTAATTCTATTTGCGGCCTACACGACTATTGTTACGGTCTAATTTCGCATAACCTTCAGTTGTGGGACTGTTTAAAAAATATAATTATAGAAAAATTCTATTACTTCAATATTTTTCTATTTCACTTTTATAATAAAGCCAGTATGAAGATAAACACAAGTAGATATTTTCTTATATAATTTTAGTATCACCAAGTGTAAATGGGAATATATATATTTATATATATATACAAAACCTGCCCCACAACCAAACGTCTATCCAAAATAAGAGTTCTAATTTCTTATACAACGTCACAGCGTTCACCAGTCTATGTAAAAACCTCTCATTTACATTATATATATTTTGTATACAGTCCTAACTTACTTTAAATTTGTTAACCTACCACCAACCACGTACGGACAGCAACGAAACCAGTAGTTATTAAATTAGTAATTAGATTGGTGATTACATTGCTGACCATACACTTTTTTTTTATATACTGCAAGTTCATGATTCCCACTCACCACACAAAAAGTTATTTTAAAAATAAATTGATAAATACGCATAAGTAGTTAGTTTAGTTACATACAGGTGTTTTGGGTGTTAGCTGAATTCATCTGAAGCGACTGAAGGAGACACGTAACATACAATTGTTCGCTAGATGCTTCAAGAAACATTAAAACATAACTGCGGTGCAATCAACATGATTGACATGACATGACAACAACAATTGATTGGGGACGTCAGGACTGCGTTTAGCAAATTATTTTACATAGTGTAAACATTTAAATGTGTTCATATGAATTTTGAACCAATTTATTGTGTAGATTTGATATAGTTTTTATTTTTTTTAAAGCATGTAACTGCTTGATGTTTAAATCTAAAGAGAATATAACTAGAAAAAAATCCACGCGGACCAGACATTGCGGGTTACCTATAATGCGAAGAGATGGCTAGAAAGGCTAGAAGAATTTCAACAGTGCATTCGCCCGGATTGCGAAGGGTGCGGGTTCCAGTCCCGTCTGCTGCCTGGTCCTCGTGGAATTTTTTCTAGTTATAATCTTTAGATTTAGATTTGATATTTTATAATTTAATGGTACATTAAACATAATTTTATTGAAATACTTAAAATAAATTTGACTATTAAACTATAATTTTGCAACATTGCTTTTACTTGCGATAATTATGTCCATCTATTTAGCAAACAATGGTGTCAATTCTGCCATGATTCTCTAAACTTAGAGCTAAATTTAACTCTCTCCTTCTCATCTCTTTATAGATACTGACAAGGATACACTATTGTCAAATTTAAATTTAGGTTTAGAGAATCTCGCCAGAATCGATACCAATGAAGTGCATTAGTGAGACAGTGAATTTCTGAATTCTAGTGTTAAGTAATAAATTATAATATAAGCCAGACAGTGGTTTAATTATTAGGATGATTTTGTATAGCACTTTTGTCACTTAAACTGGATTTATTACTCACAGCACATTTTAAGGCCTCATTTTATGAAATTAATGTCGATCTTAATAATAATTGTTGTTAGTGTGAAAGGACACCCGGCATTTTGTGCCAAAGTTGTATAATTTTTTAATTTTTTTATCTGTGTTTCCTATTTGGGTAACGTAGTCTGGCAATATTAGTCATCAGCAGCTAGCTGTCAATGTCAAATACGTAGGTTTGTCATCAAAAGGGTTTCTATATCAAAAAATATTAATCATTAAATAACTTCTTTCCACGATTCACTAAAAATAAGGCAAAAGTAGTTTTATGTAGCAAATAATTTTGGCTTTATTTTGAGACCAAATTCAACTATATACAAGTTTAGCATTTTTTCTATGAAAAGTGCCGGGTCTCCTTTGCTAATACTTAAATACAATTGAGTATACATTCGGAGAAAGATGTCAGGGCAGATTCCTTTTTTATGCAAAAATCAATTATGTATTATTATTCGTAAATTTATAATTACTGAAAACTTATTATATTTCACTCACATTTCTGGTAAAACTAATAAACATTACCACTGAACTTGCGTGTTAGTATTTGCTTCATACATAATTTTATTCTTTTGATACAGATAACATCGAATTTATCAAAATTGACTCATTATATTATTCCAAAGTTTAGTCAGCCCGACGTCCCCTTATAGCGAGCACAGCGCGAACTAAACACCCACTGACATACCTAGCATTAGATTTATCTGTTGAAACGAAGTTTCGCCGTTTCCGTGCTTATAGCTCTTGCATTTCAAGAGTGCACGCCTCCTCGCCTTTAATGCTCATAGAAATAGAGTTCAATATTGTCCACGCACACTCGTGGAATGCAAAATCCTTGGCACGATGAGCACGGCTTCACGACAGCGGGAAGGCTTTAACCACGATCCTGTTGACAATCAATATAAATCATCATCATCAGCCTATTAATGTCCCCACTGCTGGGGCACAGGCCTTCCCCATGGATGGAATAGGGAGTTTGGGCCATGACCCACCACGCGGGCCCAGTGCGGATTGGTGGATGCTAACGACTGCAGATGCAGCCGGGACCAACGGCTTAACGTGCCTTCCGAAGCACGGAGGAATTCGAGATAGTAAATTTTTGGTCACCCATCCAATGACCGACCACTGCGAAAGTTGCTTAACTTTAACGATCGCAGCCGAGCGCGCTAACCACTTGCGCCATCGAGCTCCTTTATCAATGATCAATATAAATGGTGAATTGAATTTCTAGGTCCGATTCGTGCTATGGGATACTAGGGTAACGTGTACAAATACATGTAATGATACGAGGATAAAGCATATTTTTTCATCACTTGGGTCGGCTAGGACATAAGGCTTACCGCCTAACGGAATTGCTATGGCTATAGTTTAGGATTTCATTTTGTTATTTCTGACCGCGAAGGTTTTCAAATACCCCACGCTCATTTTATTTAATTCATTAATTTACTTAATTCTTTAAATATTTTGTCAAATGGTCGATGCTTTTATGTTAAAAATTTTAATATATTTCATTGTTTCAAACTTGAAAAGGTTTTCGGAATCGTGATATACAGTAGTAGACAATAATATAAAATATTTTATTAAAATTTCCATTCTACGCTTTAAAAAATTACTGATTCGATGAATTTTATGACCAATTTCTTTCAAATGTAGAAGAGAACTTTTGTGTTTACCGCACATTAAGAAAATCTACCAACAAAATAGAAACTCTATTTAGTGGGTGCTAACGACTGCATTGTGAAGGCCTATCAAATGTATTTATTAATCTGGAACAACGGAACCAAAGCGCGATTCAGGAGACTACAGCGCCATCTCTTGACCATTGGTGTAGTAGAACCAAAAACCTCATCTATATTTTTTGTAATAAAGTAAAAGTTATAGGTATTCATATTTATAATATTTATCCACATGTTTCTAGTTTGTATATTCGGAATACGTGTTTGAGTTTCATACAAGTGCAAATCACATATGTTCTAATAAATTATATTCAGTAGCGATTTTAATTGAATATTTTGATTATTTATTTATTTTTTCAAATTAAAACTGAACTTTATTGACTGTGTCCTTTTCCAGACTTTTTATTAATTTATTGTAATTAATTATTTGCATGCAATTAAAAACTAATTTTAAACGATGCCAAAGAAGGATAACTTCTCACGCGCCTACATAAGTACACGCACCCATTTTTTTTTTGGTATCCGTTTGCTTTGTTATGAGCAAAACACTCGCTTTTGGACTGCGAGCTGTTTTTCTCACTGTTTTATGTTTATAAACTATAATTGTGTTTTTTAAAATTTTTATAGCATAGTTAGTTATACTCACTCACCGGCGGCTGCGGCTAGGACAGGAAGGGGTTGGGCGTATGCCTGGCGTTGGGCGGCGACCACGGGGACTGGGACCGCGGTGCCGGCACCGGCGCCCAGGGGTCACCGACCCCGCCCACAGCGGTGTTCATGCCCATCGGGACCGGGGTTATGGAGGCCGATGTGCTGAGCGCGGGCGCCGGGGCCCCGAAGGCGGGGGGGGGGGGACTGGAACGGCATGCCCGTGAGACCCATTTGCTGTTGCTTCAACTCGTTGATGGACAGTTTGGGCTGCGGGAGAGTTAATAAAATAAATAAACATACAATATTTTATAGCACAGTGTGACCTAAACCCGCACTTTACGCACGCTTTTCCGTGACCTAAGTTGCCTATTTCTGCACGGTGTGTGAATGAATTGAACAACTTCACTCATGTAGAATTAGTACATTACGATACGCGTAACTTGACTTTACTATGCCAATCAAGGAATAAACGTTCATGGATACATTGAAATTCTATTTTGTTGTAATGATATTTGATTTTTTCCTTTTGAAATATACTTTCAAAATGGTAATCTGAACCGGAATTCTTTCTTTTCAGAGTTTGACTTGCAGTCTGTATTGCAATTCTTTGTGAATGCAATACATGAATTTTACTTTCAAAACACTAATCGCATCCCTCGGACCCCCCCCCCCCCCCCGTCTTGCCCGCGTCCGGGGCGGGTTTATGTCACACTTGCTATAAAATAGTATACGATACTTGTGGCCTAAGTTGTCTATTACTTCACGTCGTGCAGTAATAGGCAACTTAGGTCACGCGTATCGTAATGTACTATTCACTCACACCAATAGGGGTATTTGACGTTCCCAAGGTAAACCTGCAGCTAACACGTAAGTTAATCAGACTTCCTAGACAAGCCCTAAAACAAATCGTGGGTATACTCAAGGGTCACGGCTATTTCAACAAACACCTTTGTAATATAGGTATTTCTGAGAGCCCTCTGTGCAGAGCCTGCCTGGAGGACGAGGAGACGAGCGCCCATGTGCTGCTGCAGTGCAGGGGCGTTGCAAGACAAAGGACTTCTCTAATGGGAAGCCCGAAGACTACAGTAGAGGCCTGCAGTAACGTCCGGGGACTGCTGAGCTTTCTGGAGGAGCTGGGATGGCAGGACTGCTGCCAATCCCCACGCAAAATAGGCACTAGATGTCGAGTTGCGGAAACAGCCCACCGTTCTACTAAGACTAGGGCATTTGACAGTATTAAAAATAAAGAGCCAATTGTTAGCATCTGTGTTTAGAATGAATATTGGCAGTTTTTACTATTTTTATAGAAAAAATATTCATAATTTTACTAAAAACCCACGATGAAGTTTGCTTGTCTATTGTCACGTGACCCAAAACGCTTGGGATTGGTGGAGCCTAAAATGACGTCCGGTAAACTTCCGGTTAAAGTGACATTTGATTGTATGGTTTGACGTTATAATAACAGTCGTGTGACGTCACACACCAGTGAGACGCCATATTGTCCAGAGATACGTTTTTCGCGGCAACTTGAAAATAGAGTTCTTGATTTGGTTTTTTTACCGAAATACACAACATAGTGATGAATATCCACTTTTTATGGACTCTATAAACATTAGTAAATAACGTGAGATCATTTTTTAAAACCTGTCAAAAACCCTATTAGCCTAGCCCTGCCCTGTAATGGCGCAATAGGCTAGTTTACTCATATTGAATTGTAAATTGTAAAAATGTTGATTTCTTACAATTTTTGGTATGAAGAACCAAAATACATCGATTTTACTTCATAAAATTAGAAAATGACTGTAGTAATTTAATTTAAAACAGTTCTTTAGTCTATACTTTTTAAACACTAAAAACGCTGTCCTCCGTGATAGTGCCGTCACAAAATTTGTGAACAACTAAACGTCATTGTCGTGTCACTATGGTTTCTTTCGTCAGACTAAAATATATCAAAAAATCTTATACCTTGCAGAAAAGATACCATTTATTGATTTTGTTCACTAAATAAGTGTTGGACGCTGGATTTGTGAAAGCAGAAACGACAAAACTCTTTGACTTAATAGGTACATTCATAACCTTAAAAATTGTATTTTTAATCTTTATATATTATTCAATGAGTACATCGAAGTGATCTTTACAAAAAGAAATGACTTTCAGTCGATAAAATTACAGGACTTAGCAAGTTTTAAACATTTGTTCATGTGTAGGTATTTGTTTATTTCTCTAGGCAATTTAAACCGCATCTTTTCTGAAGTCTTTATCGATGTGTTTCTATATTCTCGTATAATAAAATCATGATAATTACTATAATTTTATTGTAATCTATTATAAATCATGGTATATACTCTGGAGAATGCGGATTGGAAATTATGGAAAAAAGAGTGCAGAGTAATCTTAACTGCCTGCGCTGGCGGATAGGAAGCCATTTTAGTTGAGATAGATATGAGAAAATATGGTCAAATTTGCGGAGGCAGAAGATGAAACGGATAGCATTATTGATTAGGCGGTCCAATTTGTTGAGAAGATCTGCGTTTAAGTCAGGATAACAGACATCGGCATACTCAATGAGTGGTAGAATAAGGGACGTAACGAGAGTAATCTTTTTATGGGGAGGAAGTTTCTGAAGCGATTAAGGGAACGTAATGAAAAAGTAACGGCTCGGCTGACTTCAGCAATCTGCGATGTCCAACTTAGCGTGGTATCAAAGTGAAGGCCGAGATTCTTGACGCTGAGGCTAAATGCAATTGTAGAATCTTCAAACACAACAGATGGGAGCCGACCAAAAACAATATTTGAGATCTGCTTGGAGCCACCCACAACGATTGCCTGACATTTAGTGGGGTTAACAGCGATTTCATAGTCTGCAGACCACGAACTTATATTGGAAAGCTGTTTATTTAGCTGAGATATGCCAGCAGCCATTTCCTCGACAGTAGTCTGCGCATAAATTTGCAGATCATCAGCGTAGTAATGACAAAAAACAACCAAGCGAGAAGGAAAGAAAATTGATGAACAAAGAGAATAGAAGAGGAGAAAGAATTCCCCCTTGAGGAACACCAGCAGTCAGGTCATTCCATTTAGATAATTCACGTTCCTTGCGCACTGCCTGCTAGCGATCAGAAAGGTAAGACGAGAACCAGTCCAATGTCAAAGATGAAAAATTATGGGATTTCAGAATAGCAAGCAGAAGATCATGGTCTACCATATTAAAAGCATTGGAGAAATCTATTAAGACTATAATACCAAGTCGAACATCCTCGGTTACTTTAAGTAGAGCAGTCGACGTACTGTGCCCAGGTCGAAAACCGGATTGGAAAGAAGTAACTGCCTGAAATATAGAAACTCTACCGAGTTAATCATCATCATCAGCCTATTAATGTCCCCACTGCTGGGGTACAGGCCTTCCCTATGGATGGAATAGGGAGATTGGGCCATGGCCCACCACGCTGGCCCAGTGCGGATTGGTGGGTGCTAACGACTGCAGATGCAGCCGGGACCAACGGCTCAACGTGCCTTCCGAAGCACGGAGGCGCTCGAGATAGTTATTTTTGGTCACCCATCCGATGACCGACCACTGTGAAAGTTGCTTAAGTGAACGAACGCGCTAACCACTTGCGCCGTCGAGCTCCTCGAGTTCGAATAATACTAATCATTCGACTAAGTCGACTGCGCTTTATATCATTCGACTGGAGTTGAAAGTATCGGGCGGCGCGCATCGCACGTAGCGACATTTGACATTAGTATTACTAATAAGTAGTCCTTTTTTGAATAATGACATTATTATACTACTGTAGGAAGGCCAAAGGGGAAGATCTTCCTCCGAGCTGGGTGATGTTAGCTCGGGGGCCGCGGCCCGACTGATGTTGGTCGGGCATCGTATATATGAAGAGTTAGCCTCCGAATTTCATTTGCGCGATGTAGGCTTCCATACTATTATGATCGCAGTGCAGGTAACGCCATCTCTTGAGGATGGTGAGTAATGATTTCCTCAATCTGTTGTATATATGTGGGGCTAATAGATGTCGCCGCCACATTACTAATTTGCCTTTCGAATAGCCAAATTAGTAGTTACGAATTAGTCGAAAGGTAAAATCATTCGTAGTCGCGCATCGCTACTCTATAGTATTTGCTACAAGTGAATTGAGTGTAATCTCTCGGGCGAATCACATCGTTTAATATATCGTAAGCGAGGGTTATTTTAGCTCGGGCGGGTAACTTTGTCCCAAATCAGAAAAAATATTGAACTTGGGTGACCGTTAATAGTTCCAGTTGAAAATCACAGATAGCCATATAGGCGCGTAGTGTGGTGTTGTTATGCCGACATCGTTCCTGTATCAAGTTCTCATTGTAACGCGGGATTTTTTGTAACTGAAATAGTTCGCAAGTTCATGCGCAAACTTTCTCAAAACTGTGGTTTTCGGTAAGTTTACAATTTTTTTTTTAACTAAATTATTTTTGGGTTAAAACATCCATTTGTGTATTCAGTATGCTAATGGTGATCTGTTATAAGGGTTACTTAACCCTAACATGGTTTAAAATGAGTTTTTTTTCACAGAGAAAACTCAACAAGCTAAAGTAACCTTCTTTAAGTCTTTAAGGCCAACTTTGGCCCAAAATTAAAAAAAAATATATATGAACCCTTAAATATTATTTTTTCCTATTTTCGTATGATAACTTTGTATTTTATACTTTAAAGTTCACAATGGAAAGATATAAACGTGACATATTCGTCACAAAGAGAGAGCTACAATTTTATTTGAAAAAAAAAAAACCGGCCAAGTGCGAGTCGGACTCGCGCACCGAGGGTTCCGTACAAACCTCTAGGTATATTTTAATAATTATTAAAAAAAAAATATTATAGGATGTAACTAAGAATTTACGGTTTTCGCAATTTTTCCTTTATCTGTACTATAAGACGTTACTTCGTACCAAATTTCAAGATTCTAAGTTCACGGGAAGTACCCTGTAGGTTTTGATTCCCGTGCGAGTTTCGAAAATTTGCGACATAAACGGCTGTATCTTTTGATTGCTTCGGCTTAGAAGTTTGATTTTTTCGCAGCTCCAAGGGACAGTACTCCTGAGTATTATATATGAATTTCAGTTTGATACCTCCACGCGTTCCTGAGAAAAACGGTCTCGACAGACGGACGGACGGACAGACGGACAACAAAGTGATCCTATAAGGGTTCCGTTTTTTCCTTTTTAGGTACGGAACCCTAAAAAGAGCACATTTTGGGTCAAAGTAACCCGCAGTCACTCGGTAAGTCGAACGTTGAACGTAGAGTTTGATTCTCACCGGGTTGGGGGGCTGGAAGGCGTTCCTCTGTGGCGGGGGCTGCGTGAAGGGGTTGGGCGCGGGGGCTGCGGGGGCCACGAGTAGGCGCTCCAGATTCACCAGCGATGAGTTCTCCCCCAGGAATGTCGACGGAGACTTCTTCACCGCACCCGTGACCGAGGACGGCGGGGACAAGTTGTTACCTGTTCATGGATCAATATAAATACGTTCATCATCATCATCATCAGCCTATTAATGTCCCCACTGCTGGGGCACAGGCCTTCCCTATGGATGGAATAGGGAGATTGGGCCATGACCCACCACGCGGGCCCAGTGCGGATTGGTGGGTGCTAACGACTGCAAATGCAGCCGGGACCAACGGCTTAACGTGCCTTCCGAAGCACGGAGGAGCTCGAGATAGTAAATTTTTGGTCACCCATCCAATGACCGACCACTGCGAAAGTTGCTTAACTTCAACGATCGCAGCCGGACGCGCTAGCCACCTGCGCCATCGAGCTCCTCGTTAAAATACGTTCAAGTTAATGTTAATTTACTTCATAATCATCATTATCACGATGTTTCGCCGTTTCCGTGCTTATAGCTCTTGCATTTCAAGAGTGCACGCCTCCTCGCCTTTAATGCTCATAGAAATAGAGTTCAATATTGTCCACGCACACTCGTGGAATGCAAAATCCTTGGCACGATGAGCACGGCTTCACGACAGCGGGAAGGCTTTAACCACGATCCTGTTGACAATCAATATAAATCATCATCATCATCAGCCTATTAATGTCCCCACTTCTGGGGCACAGGCCTTCCCTATCGATAAAATAGGGAGATTGGACAATGACCCACCGCGTGGGCCCAGTGCGGATTGGCGGGTGCTAACGACTGCAGATGCAGCCAACTCAGATGGGACAAACGGCTTAACGTGCATTCCGAAGCATGGGAAAACTCGAGATAGAAGAATTTTAGTCACCCATCCAATGACCGCCCACTGCGAAAGTCGCTTAACTTCAACAATCGCAGCCGAACGCGCTAATCACCCGCGCCATCAAGCTCCTCACTTAATTTAATTAAACTTTTTTAATAAATGACATTTTAATGTAAATTGCGATACCCTATCAGGTTTCATGTGTCTGTATATATGTTTTTTTATGTAACATCTGTAATAACCACATGAGTGCAATAAATAAATTTGTGATTTGAAAATGTAACGATATTGCGTCCTAGTCTGTCATCGTTTTCCAAAATTATATTTAATACCCTAGATACACCACGAGCGCTCAAAATGTGTCCCAATCAAGAAATGCTTGAACTCCACTCAAGCACTTCTTGGTTCACAGTCACGCGCGGACCGTTGAAAAGTCAACATACCGCAGAACTCCGTGAAAAATTCTTATAGAGTCTGTGCGGAAAGAGAACGGGATTTAGATTGGAGGGCGCTGTAGTGCTTTTCTACCGTATGTGTAAGGTTTCACCCCTTTTAGACATGATTAAATACAAAAAACCGCAAGAAATCACAACAACAAATCCGTATCAATACAAAACTTTGGCGTTTTACAGATTGCTAGGTTTGATTGCCAAATAAAAATCTTAATGTTAGTTCCGTTTTTCGCCACGCCCATTCTCTTTCCGCACAGACTCTAATACGTAGTATAATTTTTTCGACAGGTATCTATTCAATGTTTGTTATTTTAAGTATTTGGAAAAAAAATCTAATACTTACTTAAAACTGATTTAATGGAAAATATTTGCGATATTCAAATGCATGGTCGGCAAAATAGCCGCGTCTTTTCCTCGCGCGCTGTACAACATATAACAACAACATAGCTACAAGTCATAAAATTTTACGGGCTTGCATTTCGAACTGTCGCAACTGTTTGACGCACGCGTTTAAATTAAGACCTTATATACTTTGAATTAAGGGTGATTTTGGATGTTTAAATAACAACTTATATCGTTTTTGACTACGCAATCATTTCACGGAGCTCCGTGAATCGTCCAATGTACCTTTTGGACATGTTTCGGCCGCGATTTTGTTCGTGTTGTTGTATCTAGGGTGTTTAATTCTACTATTAGGGTATAAATTCGACGACCTCCGTGGCCGAGTGTTTGTACGCCGGGTTTCATGGCTGTCGCCGACTCGAGATGTCCCGGGTTCGAATCCGGTGGGGGCAAATGTTTGTGTGATGAATACGAGCATTTGTATTCCAGTCATGGATGTTTAATATGTATTTATATAAATATACTTATATATGTACAGTAGTATATGTATTCTATCCGTTACCCTAGCATCCCATAACACAAGCCTTGCCCCAAAGTAATCACTATTACTTTGGGGCAAGGCTAATTGGTGTGAGTGTCGGAAATATTTATTTATTTATTTAATATCGTTGGGCTGATGGCGATGGCGATGGCAATGGCAATAGTGATAGTCACCCAGTGCACTGAGGTCGAAGGGGTCGTCGCTGGAGGGCGGCGGTCGCTGCGATAACGCATCGAATTGCTGTAACTCGCCCGGAGATGGTGACGACAGCGTCGATAGAGGGGACTTGTTCTGTGATAAACAAATCAACATTTTTCTTTAATATACAAAACTAAATAATCATCATCATCATCATCAGCCTATTAATGTCCCCACTGCTGGGGCACAGGCCTTCCCTATGGATGGAATAGGGAGATTGGGCCATGACCCACCACGTGGGCCCAGTGCGGATTGGTGGGTGCTAACGACTGCAAATGCAGCCGGGACCAACGGCTTAACGTGCCTTCCGAAGCACGGAGGAGCTCGAGATAGTAAATTTATGGGTCACCCATCCAATGACCGACCACTGCGAAAGTTGCTTAACTTCAACGATCGCAGCCGAACGCGCTAGCCACCTGCGCCATCGAGCTCCTCAACTAAATAATAATAAAACTTTATATAATGACATATTTATTAATTTTAATTATTGTAAAATATAATTTTACATATCAATTTTACGGATTCAAATTAACTAAACTAGCGGTGGGTCGTTCTCAAATTTTCTGACGACGAAACGCAACCGTTTTCTCTTAAACGAAAACTAGTCCTCGAAACGGTTCTCGTTCGCAACTGGTTTTGGTTGCGGCTGGGTGACGCAACGAAACGACACGCGACGGTCGAACGAATGTAACGCAACGAAACTGAACTAAATAAAATCTTGTCAACGTTCGTTTCGACGAGTGAAAAGATTGCTAATTTGCAATGCCAACTTGCGGTTCTAAATAAATTTTATTATTTTGTTTCCATTTGTTGCTAAACAAACTTGCACTCTATTTTGATGGCGATAAGGTCATACATAAGCGGCACAGTCGCGCCACCGTACTGAGAACGAGACGACAAAACATCGAAATAAATTTAGTAATAACTGTTCAATAATAAAGATTATATTATTGTAAAATCAAAGCTTAATTGTCTAAGAACGAAACCGCCTCATATCATTGCGTTCTATTATAGACGGTATTTACTTCATTACAAAGTATATATTGGCGTGCAGATAATCTGACTACTAGTTGTTCGACGAAGACTGTTTTGATCCGAAACGTAAAACGGTTCTATCGTCGCGGAACACAAAACGGTCTTTAGGACGCTCACACCCAGTGGCGGCGCTAGACCACATGTGGACGTCGGCGACATCAAGTTCGCGAGGCCTATTTTATTTCGCAGTAAAAAGCCGTTAAATTAAGTAAGCCCAATTATAAAACGTATGAGTAAACGAGCTTTATTGTTGATAATCAAATGATGACAAAAAAAATATCAAAAATAGTTTTTTTTTTGTTGAAGTTCTCCCGTTTTAGGGAAGGCAAAGGGAACAATGCCCATACAGCCTAGTCTTTAATTAAATTTATCTTCTTTTTGTTTTTACATTAGAATGTCGGTGTGACGCATTCTAATGTTTCTTGGGGTGTTTGGCACGAAATGTATCGAGTTGGCTTTTTTCGTCGAGGTAGTCAACACTACAATAAAATTCTCACGTCCACTTGACCGGAATAGTGTATATTTTAATGATTCCACTAATTCTTCAGTTACGCAGACAGTTGTAACACAAAACCACACCAATTTTATTTCACAATACTCACTATGAACGTATTTAAGAATAATTAAAATAAGACGCCAACCGCACTCGATGAAATCCCGCCTAAAAATTACATAAATAGTGTTGCCAGACAGACGATTCTGAATACCCGTAAAGTACTACTCGCTTCCATCACGCACGTGTTCGAAATTAATAAAAGTCTTTATCATCCGCTTCGCTTTTTCCTCGGGCTTTTTCCCCGAATTGTTCGGGGTCGGCTACCTAAGCCAGGCCAGAAGAAACGAAAATAAATAGGTAACTTGTAAAAAATTTTTGCGAGGCCCCCTCAGGCGCGACCTAACATAAACTGTTTAAGATTTTATTTATTTTTTAAGCATTTAACTGCTAGATGTTTAAATCTAAAGAAAAGTTGTCTGCTGCTGTCTTAACGCTGCCCGGTCCGCGTGGATTTTTTTCTAGTAAACTTTTCTTTAGATTTAAACATCTATTAGTTAAATGCTTAAAAAAATAAATAAAATCATAACTATAATTGCTATTTCTTCTTTCAAATGTTTAATACTTGAAAAAGTATTCATTTGACATTGTGGGTTGCCTACAATGCGAGGAGATGGCGCTGCCTTGCAGCTTAACGCTAGGAAAATTTCGACGCGGCTAATAGGGCCGTGGTAGCATAATGGTCAGTGCATTCGCCCGAATAGCGAAGGATGCGGGTTCGAGTCCCGTCCGCTGCCTGTTCCGCGTGGATTTTTTTCTATTAAACTTTTCTTTAGATTTAAACATCTAGCAGTTAAATGCTTAAAAAATAAATAAAATCATATCTCATTAATTAATACTTTGGTTTGCATTTGAACTTAGAAGAATCATCAATCTCTTTTATCTCAATATAGGAAACTGCACTTCTCAATATAGGATATGGACTGCTGTGCGAGAAACGAAGTAAGGCGAGCGTGCACGACAACTTCCGAAATCAGTTTCGGTTTCGGCAAAGTTTCGGCCAATTTTCGGCCGAAACCGAAACTGCCGCCGAAACTTAATTTTTGACCGAAACTCGGCCGAAACCGAACCCGAACTTTCGGTCGGACACTAATTATTTTATACCTGTGCAGTATAGTTGAGTTGCGCGAGCGGGGCCCAGGGGTCGGGAGCAGAGGGCGCGGCCCACGGGTCTCGCGCCGGGCTCCCCACGCCTGACCACGCGTCCGAAGACGTTTCCTGAGACAAAACAAACGAAACTGAATCTTAAGTCCATAGGAACTGAGCTTCTATAAATCTGTCGGGCTAAAAGAGGTAATTTAACGTGGTAGAGAATCACAATTAATCTTTTAGTTTAGTTCGCAGAGACTACAGTTCCATTCGGACTGTATAGCCCCACAATAGGGTATTTGACAGTATTTAAAATAAAGTGCCAATTGTTATCATCCGTGTTTAGAATGAATATCGGCAGGGGTTTATACTATTTTTACAGAAAAAATATTCATAATTTTACTAAAAACCCACGAAGAAGATAATAGTTTTCTTATCTATTGTCACGTGACCCAAAACGCTTGGGATTGGCGGAGCCTAAAATGACGTCACACGCAAGTAAACTTCCGGTTAAAGTGACATTACATTGTATCGGTTGACGTTTTAATAACAGTCGTGTGACGTCACACACCAGTGAGCCGCCACTTTGTCCAGAGAACCGTTTTCGCGGCAACTTGAAAATGGAGTTTTTGATTTGGTTATTTTTAATGAAATACACAACAGAATGATGAATATCCACTTTTTACGGACTCCATAAACATTATTCAATAACGTGAGATCGTTTTCTAAAACTTGTCAGATACCCTAATAAAAATAAGTGTATGGGGATAGTGGCATTCTTTACCATAAGGCATTTCTAAGGCGTTTCATAAATGATAACGTTAGCTAAAGAACCGAGCTAGACCTTGAACTATTCACTATGCTAGGTTAGTTTGCAATGGGCATGCCGGCAGCCCACGACTTACAAAATAAAGGCTTAATATATTACTAATGGCTCGCCCTCGCTTCGCTTCGGTGTAGCTGTAGAATATACTGCTATAAGCTATATCATATCACACTACGACCAGTAGGAGCGGAGTATCGATGAAAAATGATCCAAAAACGGGTAAAAATGTTCCATTTGCTGCGATCGTTTAAGTTAAGCAACTTTCGCAGTGGTCGGTGACCAAAAATCTTTTATCTCCAGTTCCTTCGTGCTTCGGAAAGCACGTTAAGCCCTTGGTACCAGCTGCATCTGCAATCTTTAGCACCCGCCAATCCGCACTGGGCCCGCGTGGTGGGTCATGGCCCAATCTCCCTATCCTATCCATTGGGAAGGCCTGTGCCCCAGCAGTGGGGACATTAATAGGCTGATGATGATATATTAGATAGATAAGGGCTGATTGATAGTTTTTTGCCTGCTCTTATTACCAAAATAGCGTTACACTTCACTAGCTGCTACGTAATATTTGGGAACTAATTTTTTGAGCTGTTATTTAAATATTCGAGATGTAATTATGATCACTTAAAAAACATATTGAGCAGTTATTCAATTTAATGGCGGTTGATTAATTATTGCGACGGTAAAACAGGGGCCGTAATAAAAAGTCAATTGGTCGGTTATTTTATCATACAATGTCAATTCTAAAAAAAATGGGCAGTGCAATAACTGAATGAGCGGTTAGATAAATAGTTCCGCAGATCATAGCGAGCGGTGACACCCGAACTCAAATTCATTGAAAAGAGAAGTAAATGTTCGTTAGTTAGGCGGAGCTTATTACCGCGGGTGGCTTGCTCTTATTATACAATAAGTTTATTTTAGCTGCCACTAAGCAAATTTTATGTCATTGTAATTACTTAAGTATGTTTCGAATTACGAATAAAAGTTCCTCTTATTATTAAACAATTTGTTTTATTTAATTCCTTCAGTCAAAGCAAAAGTAAATTAATTTTTCATTACTATTTAAGTACTGTTTTTTTATTTTATTTTACCACCTCCTTGTTAATAGAATTGCTTAGAATGAGATTTCTTACCGACAAATTCCGATTTATTACTGCCTACATGTAACCGCGTTCAATATTTTTTACCGCCCATTTAATTTTTTTCCTGCTCAATTATAAATAAAGAAATGGATCAGTGAATATATATTTATTATTTTTTATTACTCATTTTGTTTACTTTACTGCTTAGTTTTAACTGCTGAACTAGTAATTAAACGTGCCATTTATAATTTTTAACTTACTAAAACTGCTATTTAGTTACAACTGTCTCTTTAAATCAGTGCCTTATTATTTATATCTTTGATACAGCCGTTGCTTATCATGAATTAAACAATGAAATAAATATAAAAATGAATGACTTAACGATACACGCGTATCTAGCACTACGTAACACCACACGGGCGCTTACCATAGAGTCCGAAAATATGCCGAACTCCAAATGCGTGGACTGACAAAATATATAGTTAATAAATAAATCAAATATTTGAATTTTCACAAATTCAATGACACATAATGCGATTCAAATAAGAATAGGAAATCCAATGACCTCCATCTGTCAAATGTCGCTTGAAAAGTACGGTTTGCAAAAAATCTTAGAACCCTTTTTGGCACTCAGCTAATTATGGAATAAAAAGTAAACCAAACATTGTTAAACAAATATTGATAATTAATATTGGTTGATATTTTATTTTCATTTATTGAGCTTTGGCTATGAATGTTTGATAAACTAAATCGTCAACCAAATGTCACTTTAAGTTGCGTTCAGAAACTCGATTTTAAACTTTGTTTTACATATAGGATGCATGTTCGTATGTGACCTAGTAATAGTGCATGATTATTCATAACTACTCCGGCGGTAATGCCGAGATGAACGGAGTTGAAGATCTTAATTCTGATTAATGATTTTTCTCGCACAGTCTTAATAAATAAATATTATTAAAAATAGGTCTTTTTCTTTTTTCAATTTTAGTAAATAAATTTTATTAAAAATCGGATGTTTTTTTTCTCACTTAATCACAGTAAATAAGTTTAATTAAATAAAAACTTTTTTGCTCACTCTACCTTTTTCGTTTGAATTGACAGCTATGACGTCACAATATGGCGCCCCGTCGATCCTATTCTTAGTTGAATCGCATTATATAGGAAGAGTGAAGATTTTCGATATGCCGTGATAAGGATGATCCTTGGTATAAAAACTTTTCTATGTCCTTTCCTTCTTCAAATTATTTCTATACCAAATTTCATTGTTTTTTATAGCCAGGTAGGCAAATGATTCTACCCCAACTGATGTTAAGTGGTGATAGAGTCCAATTTAAATCAGTACAGCGATTTGTGAAGAAGTAAAAGACAGACATAAAGACATACACACTTTCGAATGTACGATATTAATATGAGTTATATTAGACATTATCCTTATTACCACAAAAAATTTAATGTGCGTTTAACACGAGTTTAAAAATAAATGAAATACAAAATATGCTTAAACAAGGTTTAAACTTTTTGATGTGTAACATCTTTCCTCTCGCTTTCCTGCAATTTGTGGGAGTGATTTCGTGAAATGGGACGGAAGTGTGTAACAGGAAGTTTGGGAAGCGCGCGCTATTTGATTTGATTTTAAAACATAGTGTTCAAATGGCTTATTCCTTTTGTAGTAGGCTTTATTTCTTTTTTTACTAATATAAGGTGAGGTTTCAAATGTTACACATCATACGCGACCACTGTAAGGCATTGTCCTAATACAACGCGATAACGCGAATGAGCGATGCGATCATCGTACGATTCGACGATCAAACATATTGATCTAGAATAGGTGTCCTAATAGGCGATCACGCGATGCATTCGCGTGACTAAAATGTTTAAAAATCTATTCGCGCGAACTTAGTTCACGCGAACGCGCAATCAAACCTATTAATGATGAATAAGTGTCCTAACTGAAGTTCGCGCGATGATCGCGTCGCGTCGATATGAAGCGGGGAGAGGGGCAGGGCTAACCCGTTCCGTATTCGCGTTCTATTAGGACACCCAGTTCGCGATCACGCGATGGTCGCATCGTTTAATCGCGCGATGATCGCGTTATCGCGTTGTATTAGGACAATGCCTAAGGCTCGCTCGTTTTTTTTGTAGACAGACCGACTTTTTTTGTTACTTTGTGCTTTCAGCACGAACCAATCGAATCAAATTCGAATAGGTAGTCGAATTTAATCTTCAACTCGTCAAATGTTAAGGAGTTTTGATTGGAAGATTTTTCAATTCTCGTCACGTCAATTGTGGCGCTGTTCTTGCCACAAAATGGCAAAAACCGAGCGAACCTTACAGTGGTCGCGTATGATGTGTAACATTTGAAACCTCACCGTATATTAGTAGAAAAAAAAAGAAAAAAACACCTACTACAAGAGGAATAAGCTATATGAACATTTTGTTCTAAATTCCAATCAAATAGCGCGCGCTTCCCAAACTTCCTGTTACACACTTCCGTCCCACTTCACGTAATCACTCCCACAAATTGCACGAAAGCGAGAGGAAAGATGTGTTAGTATTATGGTAATGGCAAAGTGTGGTGTGATCTACACATACCTGTTTTTTGGAGTTTACTCCTTAAGAATCGATGTGCATACATAAGGGGCCCGGTATGAGAAAAATGTGAGGAGTAAAATCTATCGATGAATGACCTCGTTAAGTTTTTGGTGCGCATCCTATGTCGCGCAACTTTGACAAACAAAGATGACGGATTGACATTAATAAAAAATTTAAAATCTGAACTGAATTTAGATATTGTTTCTGATAGAGCAATGGGGACAACGAGGTATGGTACAACCATTGATTCGGTATTTTCAAGATTCGTGAACCACGTATCTACGAACGTCCATGTGTCTTATTTTAGTTACCATAAACCACTTGTGACTGTAATTAATAATGCAGACAATGTTGATTTACTTAATATTTAAAAAAACGATAATAGCCTGATAATAATAATTACATAATTTATCAACATTCCTAATGATATATTTATGCACATCTGAAATTGACTATTGTAAAAAGTTTAATGTAAAATATTTCGTCGATTAGATGATAAATGAATAAATATATATTTATATTATTTTCATTAATTTGTTAATTTACCCTTTCATACAGTATCAATCTTTTTTAAGTTAAATAAACTCTTTTTGCGTCTGGTTAGACTATCGAACTTAAGGAGTAAACTCCAGTCGTGCGTCGGAGCTGACACACACAATTTTTTTTTATAACGCAGGTAAAAAATCTTTTTACAGACGACGGCGCCTTTAAGAGGTTCACTGCCGAACGGACCTCACACCTGGCTCCCGCAAGTCTTACGGACCCCCCAGTGGCTGACCACCGAGGACCCCGCAACTCTTACGGGCGCTTTACAGCATAATATTCGCTAAAAAAGTCCTGCGAATACGTTCTACACTGCTTAATGACTTGACGACCTCCGTGGCCGAGTGCTTTGTACGCCGGGTTTCATGGTGTCGCCGACTCGAGAGGTCCTGGCTTCAAATCCCGGTGGGGGCAGATGTTTGTGTGATGAATACGAGTACAAATGTACTCCAGTCATGGATGTTTAATATGTATTTCTATAAACTTATACTTATATATTTACAGTATAATATGTATCTAAATCGTAACGGCTAGACCGTTACCCTAGTATCCCATAACACAAGCCTTATAGTGCTTACTATGGGGCTAGGCTAACTGGTGTGAGTGTTGGAAATATTTTATTTATTTATAATTATTTCTATACCAAATTTTATTTAAATCTGTACAGCGATTCAAGTGAAATTTGAGACACATAGACAAACACTAGTGTGTACGTCTATGTGTCTCAAAATGTGGATCACATTATGTTTTCCTGTCTTCTATTCAAATTAACAAATTATTTGATGCTGCGCTTCTTCCTGTTACACACTTCCGTCCCACTTTACGCAATCACTCCCACAAATTGCACGAAAGCGAGAGGAAAGATGTTACACATCAAAAAGTGTTAGATTTATGGTAATGGCAAAAGTGTGGTGTGATCTTCACATACCTGCCTCTGTGGAGGGGAGGGCAGGCCCCAGGGGTCTGCCGGGGCAGGGGCGGAGGCGTGGGCGGTGCCGTTAGTGGGCGGGGGAGGGCCCAGGTTCACGTCCAGCAGGTCCAGCAGGTGCGACTGCTGCGGAGACTGCTTCTTCTCCGGCACCGTCCTGACAAGGAAAAACGTAATGCAAACTTGGAAAAACTTATTGAAATTATACTTCTTTAGGCGCGTTATGAAAAAATGATGAGAGTGAAATTTTAAGATGCGCGCGCATCACTGTAAAGTTATAATTTATTGTAAAGCTAATAAGTTTCATACAAGTGCAAATCACATATGTTCTAATAACTTATATTCAGTAGCGATTTTAATTGAATATTTTGATTATTTATTTATTTTTTCAAATTAAAACTGAACTTTATTGACTGTGTCCTTTTCCAGACTTTTTATTAATTTATTATAATTAATTATTTGCATGCAATTAAAAACTAATTTTAAACGATGCCAAAGAAGGATAACTTCTCACGCGCCTACATAAGTACGCGCACCCATTTTTATACATATTTGTTGTTGTTTTATAATGTGATTTTATGAACTAAACAGACTTAATTACGAAATAAAACAATCGTGTTGCTCAGAAATGATAAACAACATTTATAGCTATTATTTCGTACAATTTTCGTGCACAAATATTATATTTTATTTATTAATTGACGGATGTCAAAATCATATCCTTTTCTATGGTCACGCACTATTTTACCGTCCGTATTGAATGAAGGGTGATGAACTTCGTTTACATACATACCTAGTGGCCCTCCCTCGCTTCGCTTCGGTGAAGAGCTGTAGTGTAGAATTCGATTTTTTCTCACCTTTTAAACCTTCCCTAGACCTCCACGAACATTTCAACACCAAGATAAGAGAAATCCGTTCAGGCGTTCTCGAGTTTTAGCGAGACTAACGAACAGCAATTGCTTTTTATAAATATTGTTGTAAAGTAATATAAGTAAGTTATTTACGGGATTGTTACCATGTACCTTGTTTTTAGCGAGTTTCCGATATTTCGGCACTGTTGCAAGCAGTAACTCCGTGATCATGGCGCTTGCAACAGTGCCGAAATATCGGAAACTCGCTAAAAACAAGGTACATGGTAACAATCCCGTAAATAACTTATATTACTATAATGTTAGTGACCATGAAAGTTTAAAACAATATTGTTTTAAGCATTAAACGGCTAGATTTTCAAATCTACAGGGAATTTTCGCGACCCAATATCTTATTCTTAATGCAGAAATTCAACTGGGAAATAACAAGAGTCAAATTTCTTCTAGTATTTCTTACGCCGACGTGGCTGCGTGACTGCAACTCGCGTAAATTGTTGTATTGTAGTAGATTAAACGCAAAAGCGCGGCGCAATTTCCGCCCGCTGAGTGCGCGGTTGTTTATTTGCACTCACAGATATATTCGAAAGAAGTTATAGTAATTTTTAATTATAACATATGTACGTAAAATATTCTACTAGAAATTATTCAACTCTTCCCGTGTACTAGTCTCTAATCTCTACACTATTTAATACACTGATCATTTTGCTACTGAGACTCTTAAAATACAAATCTACAAGTCCCTTTTCAACTAGATATGAACTACATTATAGATTTTGTAGGGCACTAACTGTACATGCGGTACGTATGCGAGTTGGTAACCGTCCAGCCACTGCGGGCTACTGTCGCTAAACGCCAAGCGGAGCCGCCGCTCAAACCTAGTTAATATAAATAATCATTAAAAATTAACTTTATGCTACCGCGGGCCTATTCGCCGTGTCGAATACTTTCTAGTATTTCTTAGGCTGTGTACGGTTCAAGCGTACATCTTGCGAAGTCATCACTTTTCATAATTGTGTTAATAATTACAAAATTACAACAGTTCACGTTTCCTTAAAGATCGCGGCGGGCGCGCACTCATCTATCAATCATTTACGAGTATCATAGCATAGTATCAGTTTTTATATAGTAATAAATAGTTTAAATTCTTATATCATCTTTTACTTATCATATCAACTCTAGGTGTACCGTACATCTAAATGGTCCTTCGAGCCGGATCATATCAACTCTAGGTGTACCGTACAGGCTGCAAGGTAGCGCCATCTCTTCGCATTGTAGGTAAACCACAATGTCAAACGAACACGAATACTTTACAAGTGTTAACGTTTGTAAGAAGAAATAGCAATTGCAGTTATGTTTTTATTTTTTAAGCATTATACTTACTGCTAGATGTTTTAATCTAAAGAAAAGTTTACTAGAAAAAAAACCCCGCGGACCAGGCAGCAGACGGACAATTATGCTACCGCGGCCCTGAAGGCCGTGTCGAAATCTCTCTAGTGTTTCTTTAGCTGCAAGGCATCCTCGTGGATTTTTTTCTAGTAAACTTTTCCTTAGAATTAATCATATAGCAGTTAACCACTTAAAAAAAATAACTATATTTTTTTTCTTGCAAATGTTTAATACTTGTAAAGGTATTCATTTGGCATTGTGGGTTACCTACAATGGGAAGAGATGGCGCTGCCTTGCAGCTTAAGAAATTTGACAAGTTTTACAAAGCGATCTCACGTTATTTACTAATGTTTATCGAGTCCATAAAATATGTTTTTCTATTAATTCTATTGAGTAAATCAGTAAAAAAAACTAAATTAAAAATTTAATCTTGAAGTTGCCGCGAATACGTTTCTCTGGACATTATGGCATTTTGCTAGTGTCTGACGTCTCATGACTGTCATTAAAACATCAAACGATACAATGTTATGTCACTTTGGCCGGAAGTTCACTAGCGTATGACGTCATTTTAGTTTTAGAGCAAAAAAATGTTTCTATTTATTGATTTTATAGAAGTTATTTATTATTTGTTCTTTCAGAATAGTAAAATCGCTGTTAATATTCATATTAAATACAGATAGATCCCAGCAATTACTACATCATTTTTCATAGTGCCAAATAGTCTATTCTTGTTACGCCCGTTGTGGCGCTGTTCAAGTTTCCATACAAAACTTGCTGACATTTGATGCGTGTCGAAATCAAATACAACTATTCGAAACCGATATTGGTACATGCTAAGGGTAGTGGTCGCAGTGGTCGGTCATTGGATGGGTGACCAAAAATTACTATCTCGAGCTCCTCCGTGCTTCGGAAGGCACGTTAAGCCGTTGGTCCCGGCTGCATCTGCAGTCGTTAGCACCCACCAATCCGCACTGGGCCCGCGTGGTGGGTCATGGTCCAATTTTCCTATTCCATCCACAGGGAAGGCCTGTGCCCCAGCAGTGGGGACATTAATAGGCTGATGATGATGATGATGAAGGGTAGTGCACTCACTGGAAGTCGTTCTGCGACTGGCTGAGCGCGAGCTGCAGCCGCACGTCGTCGGACCGTCGGCGGCGCTCGTCCTTCTCCGCCTCCTCTCGGGACATGGCGAGAGCCAGCTGTAGTTGCAACTCTTCTTCACCCGCCGTCAACGGGCGAGCTAACTCCGCGTCCCTGCCCGACCACTCGCCCGACCCGCTGCCCGCCCCCATATTGTCCACCTATAATCATAATCCAAATCATTTATTCGGTTTAGGCTGTTACAAGCACATATGAATGTCTAGAAGCTGCGCCATCGGTTCGTAAATCTACGGCGGGAGACCTTGTACTGAGAAGAACCGGCAAGAAACAGCGAGGGCTGTTTTTTTCTCCCTGTTTTATCGTTTACAGAGTCGTCAAGTTGAAAGATGACTTCGGAGATGATTCATGAAGTTACCCTTCGTTACATAATGTGAAATTATACATTAATAATTATTCACCTGCATTTTGATTGCTGTGTCACACAGTATAAATACAAACAGAGTTATTTATAATAGGTGTAATTAAACATTTACATCTTAAATATCAAAGTAGTTAGAGCAGACTCGTCTCCGCTGGCAGCACCCGTTCACGAGCATGACGCATGAACCAGCCATCGCTTCGCTCAACCATATTTTAGGGAACGTAACGATCGGCCTCACACGACACAATATACCGAGAGAATAACCACTTATCCTGTGGTCGACGAATAACAAGGACATAGTAGACATAAAAAATGGACTGTGCGACAGCTTGTATCATTGAAAACACTCGAAAGAAGACAATGGTGCAGGCTATGTCTAGACCAGGAGGCCTACTCTATTTTTTTTTTTTTTTTTTTATAGATAGATCCGACAAATGACCACCCCACCTGATGTTAAGTGAAGGTGAAGTCCAGACGCGAAGATAGCTGATACAGCAGTTCTACCTGCCACACCAGCCATCCTCACCCTGCCGGCCTGCAAGTTGCTTTTTCATATTTCAACGAAAAACGAAATTTCGATCGAAATTACGCACGTTCCTTACTCTGTTTCTTATTCATTTCGAAAATTCGTTCTATCGAAAATATTTTGACAACTAATTTCTCCTAGCCTACTCTAATTTACTAAACGAGATGTTGAATTTGACAGATAATTGTTCGAAATTTTAACCTCAAATTGACGAAATTAAAACCTTTTCGTTGTCGTTTTGAGATTTTTGTTTAAAATAAGCCTAAAATGACTGCTAGAGTATTTTTAATCAACGCTGCTTAGCGTGAGGAACTTTTTTTAGCATGTCAAATTAACAAATAAACCGAACTTTTATTAATTATTGTATTTCCAATACTTCAAAGAATTAAACGACAAATTTAGGTTGCCATACTATCGATTGCATCAACTCTACAAATTAGTCGGCTAACACTGTCAAATAGCTTTTTTTAATATCATCGAAAATTTTGTCGTAAAGTAATATTGTTTCCAAGTAAAAAACATAATCTAAAAAGTGGAGATAAAAAGAACTCACAGGGTGTATTCCGAATCAAACACCAGTACGCTGGCCAGTGGTAATGACGTCATGATTTCGACGCCATATTCGCCATTTATGTTCGACGACATATCGCCCAATTGACCTACTACTACTACTACCAGTGCAATTTGGCGTGGAAATCATGACGTCATTACCGCTGGCCAGCGTACTGATTTATATTTCGGAATACACCCATAGTCATAACTCTTTCCATTCGTTCACGAAAATTGATTGTGATTCCTAACTTTAAGCGCGTATCCAAAAATGAGATAGAGTAGAGTCATTGGAGAGAGCGAAATTTGGTAAAAAATTCATTCGTTACCGAAATTTCGTTTCGGAACTCCAGGGTCGGGCAAACTTCGGCCCGCGGGCCATCTCCGACTCGAGAATGGTTAAATTCCGGTCCACTACCATCAAACAAAATTTCAGTCCATTTTCTATGTCTATGAGTGAGGAATGAGTAGAACTAGAAAACTAGCAAAGATAATATTTGATAACTTTCACTGTCACATCAAACTAGTGCAGGGAAATATCTTACCGCTCAATTTTAACAGTCTTTTATTAACATACATACTTCATATTAAAACATTTGTATTTTGACATATTGATATTTTAGTCAACTATACCACGTTTCTTTCATCCATTAAATTTGACAGAAAACCTTCAATAACTACTTTTGAAGTTCCCGTGATCATGTGATGTTTCTGACCACTAGTTTGTCGAAGCAGATAAAGTTATCAAAGCTATTCACCAACTAGTTGCTAGCTCTGTAACCCTAGCACGAACGAATATCGAATTCGTATCGTTTGCGGGTCCGAAATGTCATTGTCAAATGTGTACTGATTTTTAGTTCTCGTTACGTACTTTGTGCCGCTGCTGTTCAAGTTTCCATACAAAATTTGACATTGACACTTCGGTTTGCAAACTATTGCTAGGGGTACTTGATCGCTTCTCGAAAACTGTATGCATAAGAACAAGTGCCTTAGAATAACTTCCAGTTCCAAATGCCAAGATTTAAAAAGTAACTAACTACATCTCGATTCAATTATACTACTGTACCCTTAGGGTGAAGCCAAACGAGCGTAATTTTGTGAGTTGTGAGTCGCTTATTTTCGGTCACTTATTTTACGTTCAACTGAATTTCTGTTGAGCTGCCATACGAACGTAATTTATTCAGTTACTATTGAGCGTTAGTACGGGGTGTTGGTGTCGTCGAGTGCAATGGATCCATTAAAAATATTGTGTATTTACGAAGCATATTCAGAAGATGAGGCCAGAAAAAGAAACTGGGTAAACCCACTGAATAGTCAGAGGCTGATATGTGGACAGTTCCATACTTTATATGAACGTTTATGTGCAAATCCAGATATGTTTGAAAAGTACTATCATATGCCATTACGTGTTTTTCAAGAATTATTACACCACGTAAAACTTGTAACAAACTGTTGCTTCCCCACTCCCCTTCCTTGCCCTACCCTCACCCCGACCGAAATTCGGACGAGCTTATGCGCATTGAGTCGGCAGACAACTCATTTTGCGTTGTCGTGTGGCACCAACTGCCCATTTGTATGAAACCGAATGCAGCAGAATTTCTGCGACCGAAATTCTGCGACTCACCACTCACAAAATTACGCTCGTTTGGCCTCACCCTTAGTACGAGTTTTAGCTCACGAAAACTACCATAGTTTTCGTAATTGTAAATTATGTTTCTATGTCTATTTTGGTGAAAAGTAACCAAATTTACTTAAAATTTAATAAGAAACAAATGATTTAATGATAGAATTCAAACACTGTTTATTTGTATTGAAACGAAAACAATAAAATCAGTACTCTTAATACGGTGCGAGCTCACGAAAACTATCATAGTTTTCGTAATTGTAAAACTCGTACTAAAGGGTGCTAGCATGCACAATCTTTGAAATCTAATTTTTATCAACGTAATGTTCGATATTTATGCGTGTATGACTAATATTCATTTCTACTTGTCATGCTTATCTATGCGAATCTCATGATATGATTGTAACGACGATGAGATTATAACAAAAATACTATTATAAAACAATAATATGAAAAACAACATATAAAATGGCGAGTTGTTATTCTCCCACCACACCTCACGTTAAGTGTAGGTGGAGTGTTGACTCGAATATAGCTTATACACGGTGTTTCAAAAATACCCCTAAACCGAAAAGGGCGTTAGAAGGTCCCTTATATAGAGCTCATTGCATTTCATTTTATTTTTTTATCATCATCATCATCAGCCTATTAATGTCCCCACTGCTGGGGCACAGGCCTTCCCTATAGATGGAAAAGGGAGATTGCGCCATGACCCACCACGCGGGCCCAGTGCGGATTGGCGGGTGCTAACGACTGCAGATGCAGCCGGGACCAACGGCTTAACGTGCCTTCCGAAGCACGGAGGACCTCGAGATAGAAGATTTTTGGTCACCCATCCAATGACCGACCACTGCGAAAGTTGCTTAACTTCAACGATCGCAGCCGAACGCGGTTACCACCTGCGCCATCGCGCTCCTCTATTCTATTTTTTTATGAAGAATAATTAATTTTTCGGCAAAAAATAATATTAAGCTACGGTTGTCATATATTGGCAATGAGCTCTATATAGGGGACCTTCTAACAGCCTTTTCGCTTTAGGGGAATTTTGAAACACCCTGTATATAGATATATTTTAAGATAGTGATTAATCTAAATACTCGAGTATTGTGCTACGTAAAATGATATCAGTAAAAAAATATGTTATTATATATAAAAAAACAATTTTCATACAGCGAGTAAGAAAGGAGCAAAGATTATATTTAAAAAGTATGTTATTATACATACATTTCAAATTGACTCACAAATATATAAGGTCTAGTCATTATGTAAACATAACTAAAGTAAAACAATGATCAACAATAACGCACTGACACGTCAATTAATTCAATACAGATGATGACTAATTTTTTTTGTTCGTTCATCAGGTAGATTATCAAAAAGTATTGGACACGTATTTTTTCTTTTTTCACATAATATAAACATTGCAGAGTTAAATTGATTTGAAAAGTCGCATGACGTCACGTTTTGGTACAATTTTCACTTTAAAGTGACGTCATGAGCCCCTACTCCCAAACTTTGACGCGCTTTATCTTTGTTACTTTACCCCGTCATCATGGCTATTGCTTGTTTTAGAGACATCTTAATCTATTGCTATCGCAATTAAAACGACACTAATTCTACCCTAACTTTAGAAATTTAAGACGACTATGGATTAAGCACGATTTAAGCCAGCATAAAGCTCAAATATGTATTAAGACAAATAATAATAAATAATAAATAAATAAATAATAAATAAATATTTCCAACACTCACACCAATTAGCCTAGCCCCAAAGTATGCACTATAAGGCTTGTGTTATGGGATGCTAGGGTAACGGATAGAATACATATACTGTACATATATAAGCATATTTATATAGAAATACATATTAAACATCCATGACTGGAGTACAAATGCTCGTATTCATCACACAAACATCTGCCCCCACCGGGATTCGAACCCGGGACCTCTCGAGTCGGCGACACCATGAAACCCGGCGTTCAAACCACTCGGCCACGGAGGTCGTCATACAAATACAACATCATTTTTATATGACAAGTTCTATCTAGTCATGAATTATTGGTTGAACATTATAAATACCAAAAACTACTGGACTGATTTAAAAAAATCTTTTACCAAAAAGCAACATTATTCCTTTCACCGTAGCATGAGCACCACAATAGGGATGATGACAATTTTTTTTTTCTTCGTTTATCAGGTAGATTATCAAAAAGTATTTGGACACGTATTTTTTCTTTTTCCACATAATATAAACATTGCAGAGATATATTGATTTGAAAAGTCGCATGACGTCACGTTTGAGAACACTTGTAAGCGAATATTTACTAAAAAGTGACGTCACGAGATCCTACTCCAAAACTTTGACGCGCTATAACTTTGTCATTTTTTGGTTGATTGCCTAAAGAAAAAATACGTGTCCATTATTTTTTGATCATCTAACTGACGGACTAAATAGAATTTCGTTTACTGTACCCCGTCATCACCCCTATGGATATTATATCACGTTTTCTATCTCAACTGTCAAGATACGAGCTATAAATCATATCGCGGTCCTCATGCTAGGCAGGCTCAGTGGCATAGGGTATATTTTATCGCAATAATATTCTTTACTTCCTTATATATTCGTCAGCCAATGAAAATTTATTATTAATGCAGTATACACTTTAAACTTTCATGAAGACCGTTTTTATAATCGGTAATATTATTTTAATAATGATATTGCTGTATGTTTCTACATTCCTTGCTTTAAGTGAGTTACATGAGCGGCGTCATATGTATTATTAATAAATAATTAAACGTTTTAGTACCTCATCTGAGGAGAATAACGCCGTCTGGTGACAAAACAAAAAATATAGTTTAGATTTGCATTCATTACTAATCATGATGTTCTTAAATCTCGTAATAATATAGTAAATAATTAAATAAATTACTGGTTACATCAAAATGATCGCCTTCAGAAGCGTTACTTAAATTTAACGCTTGTCAAAACGACGTATCTTATTCTATTACTATTGCAAATAAAGGGACAACACCAAATTTAACAAGTTTAGAAATTAATTAACTTCTGTGGGTTTGGCCCTTTCATTTTGATAGTTAAAAGAACGGAGCACAGTTTTCGATTGCGGGGGTTAGCATTATTTGCAAAGACATTAGTTTAATTCCAACGAATTAAAAACAATATGGAATACGAACTCCGCTAAAAAGTGGTCCCACGCAAACTGCGATTAAATGGGCGCGAAAAAACTGAGACCAACACGCCGATCATGAGATTGGTTAGGATTTGCGTTTAAAAATTATCTTACCTTATTAATGGATAGCCAAATTCATTTGCAGATATTTGATTTGCCAAAATATTTTGTTTTGTATGTGTGCGTTATACTTCGACATTTTATTAGCTGCAGTAAAATGACGTTTCAAAATGTCATTCCGTAAAATAATGTTAACCGTCCAATTATAATAGGGGTGTGATTAGGTTCACAGAAAATCTAATCGTTTCATAACTCATAATGTTCATACTTAATTCTATTTATTATTCATATAAATAAAAGACTGTCATTAGTGTGACCGGCGAAAGCTATAGTGATTCCGAAAATGATTGAAAAATAATAATAGTATTTAAATAATATTGTTATGATATTTTTGTTTCATTTTGGATATACGTCCCTACACTTCCACTGAAAAAGATCAATAACTTAATAATAAATCTCTAAAACAAAACCAAACTGATCATTCATTTATTGAATGATTCACTTACTTAGCTACATCCCTATTTATTTTTCTTCAAAAAGCGGTAACCCACAAAACGTCATTTTACTGCAGCTAATAAAAAGTTCCACTTTAGTATTAAAGTTTAGTTGTAAAATTTTGGAACCATGTTTTAGTGCCCTTTGTTAGAGAGTAATGCATTACGTTGTTACACTCACAAAAGTAAAATAGGCAACCGATTAGGGAAAAAGGTAGTTTTATTAAGATTTTATTTATTTTTTTAAGCATTTAACTGCTAGATGTTTAAATCTAAAGAAAAGTTTACTAGAATAAAATCCACGCGGACCAGGCAGCGGACGGGACTCGAACCCGCATCCTTCGCTATCCGGGCGAATGCACTGACCATTATGCTACCACGGCCCTATTAGCCGCGTCGAAATTTTCCTAGCCTTAAGCTGCAAGGCAGCGCCATCTCTTCGCATTTTTTTTTCTAGTAAACTTTTCTTTAGTTTTGTTAAGTTTTTTTTTTACTAGAAAAACATTCAATTCAATTTATTCAATTTCGTTCTGTAATATGAGCTGATAGGTAATGCTATTATCATCACATTTGCAAAAAAACGAATTTACCGAGGTTGTATACATTGCTCGAAAGTTCAAAATTACGCACAATACAACAGAGTCCACGCTCCGGTATATATAACTATGTTGGGCTCACTTTAAAACTAAAAAACAGAAAAAAAGAGACATAATTTCTACATCTTTCTGTAAAGGATACGTACGGCGCCATGTATGGTAGCGTGCGGTAAAACGTTTTTCCGCATGCTCCGTTGTATCGCGTATAATTTTACAACTGTCCGTACATGCTTTTTTTGTGGAAGTGTGTTGAATATAAATAAATTACCGGCGGGTACGTAGGACTGGTAGGCGTGTCTAAGGCGCCGTCGCTGCCGAAGGCGCTGGCACTCTGAGCGAACCGCTGCTTCGCTTTGAGCGCTCGCGTGCGCTCGTTCTTTAAGCGCTCCTCGTCTTTAAGCAAGTTCACCAGCTGCTTCGCTTTCTCGCGAACGTTGAGACCTGATGGACGAGACCATTTTTGAAATGAGAGTGATGAACAAGCAATCATCATCATCAGCCTATTAATGTCCCCACTGCTGGGGCACAGGCCTTCCCTATGGATGAAATAGGGAGATTGGGCCATGACCTACCACGCGGGCCCAGTGCGGATTGGTGGGTGCTAACGACTGCAGATGCAGCAGGGACCAATGGCTTGACGTACCTTCCGAAGCACGGAGGAACTTGAGCATTTCATTTTCGGTTATTTATCGATGAAGCATCGAAAATGAAAGCAAAAATGAACCGTCTAATTTCAGCATTATTAACTTCCATGATCGAAAACTAAACCCGCTAATAGGGATGTCGAAAGTTGAAAAAAATATCGATATATCGATACATCGATCTATTAAAAAATATCAATATCGGCTTCGATATATCGCGAAAAAAACATCGATATATCGGACCAATTTTCCCAAAAATATCGTACAGTAGCTCACGAAATATGACACGCGGAATAATAATGGAACGAAAATTATCTCCCTAAAAATAGACCCTATTTTCGAATGATGACTTAGACAATACTAAATACAGCACAGATCATAGATATGTTTAATATCATTAATCTGAGATCCAGTTACGATTTTTCCAGATACGAATTTAGTTAGATCGTGATAAGCCGCTAATAATTAAAAAAATATCGTTTTTGATACGAATTTCGATATTGGTTATTTTGTATCGATGTATCGATATATCGAATCAAAATATATCGGCAAAAAATATCGATATAACGAACAAAAAATATCGATATATCGATACATCGATATATTTTCAACAAGCCTACCCGCTAACCATCTGTGCCATAGAGCTGCTGAATATTTGATACCAAGCAAAGACTATTTCAAATGTTTACGAGTCGTGAGAATCAAAACGATTGGCCTTGACGAACACCAGTGTATGGCGATAATTCCCACATACCGTAAACAATGAACGCAATACAATATCGCACCGAGCTATGACACTGTGGGGCGTTGCACCTAGCCTATACATTACAAACAGAGGTTATGCTAATATTATGATAATCTACGACGGAAGGTCACGTATTGTTAGTATTTTAAATACAGATTAGTTTTAAACGGTCTAAATACATAATCTATATATATAAAACTCAAAGGTGACTGACTGACATAGTGATATATCAACGTACAGCCCAAACCACTGGACGGATCGGGCTGAAATTTGGCATGCAGGTAGATGTTATGACGTAGGCATCCGCTAAGAAAGGATATTGATAAATTCTACCCCCAAGGGGATAAAATACCGAAGCGAAGCGAGGGCGGGCCACTAGTCTATATATATAAAACTCAATAGTGACTGACTGACATAGTGATCTATCAACGCACAGCCCAAACCACTGGACGGATCGGGCTGAAATTTGGCATGCAGGTAGATGTTATGATGTAGGCATCCGCTAAGAAAGGATATTGATCAATTCTACCCCCAAGGGGATAAAATACCGAAGCAAGCGAGGGCTGGCCACTATTATCTATTTATATAAAATTCAAAGGTGACTGACTGACATAGTGATCTATCAACGTACAGCCCAAACCACTGGACGGATCGGGCTGAAATTTGGCATGCAGGTAGATGTTATGACGTAGGCATCCGCTAAGAATGGATATTGATCAATTCTTCCCGCAAGGGGATAAAATAGGGAATGAAAGTTTGTATGAAACTTTGTCAATTTTAAACCGATCGGGCTGAGACTTTGCATGCAGGTATAAGAAGAATCATAGATGAACGTCATTGTGTATAATACAAGCCTGAGAACAAAAACTGTAGTCTACACTTTAGCTCTACACCGAAGCGAAGCGAGGGCGGGCCGATAGTAAGATATATAACTCGGTCAATTTATTTAATAATTTATTTGTATGACAATTTCAATTGAATAAAAATGTTGGAAATATGGTTGGATATCTTAAAATTCATATTGGCCGGAGTGGAGTTCCATGGTGCGAGAACCAGCTAATCTGAACCCTAACCTTTGAGGACTAAAGAATAATAATAAGAAGAACTGACTCCAACATATAACAATAGTGCTATAGCTCCCTAGCGGATTAATTAGTGTAATTGGATGCCACACGGATTGTATAGACGAGACGTGACGTCACATTGACAGTTATAAAACGTCTCGGGTAATGATACAATTCAATGGAATGAATACATGTAATTTTACCTGTAGATATTTTTTTTTCTTTTTAACACTCACACCAATTAGCCTAGCCCCAAAGTAAGCACTGTAAGGCTAGTGTTATGGGATGCTAGCGTAACGGATAGAATACATATATTGTACATATATAAGTATATTTTTATAGATATACATATTAAACATCCATGACTGGAGTACAAATGCTCGTATTCATCACACAAACGTCTGCCCCCACCGGGATTCGAACCCGGGACCTCTTGAGTCGGCGACACCATGAAACCCGGCGTACAAACCACTCGGCCACGGAGGTCATCATCAATTTTTCAAAAGTTATATTAAAACTAAGTCTCCCAGCCTTAGAAAGAGTTTTGAAGAGAACCTTGCACTTACTCCCTTTCATATACTTGTTCATTTTGTTTTGAAAATTGCTATGCTATTTTGGGACTTTTCTTTGCACTTATTTTTAGTAAATTCGTTGATTGTCTATTGTTACATATTTGACATTATGTGATGGAAATTGACCTCAACACATGTTTGCAAGTTTGATGTCAACTTTCAATTGGACGACACTGTATGAAATAAAACAGGGACAGAAAAGCAGCCCTTGCTGAGTTTCTTGCCGGTTCTCCTCAGTACAAGGTCTCCCGCCGTAGATTTACGAACCGATGGCGTAGCTTCTAGACATTCATATGTGCTTGTAACAGCCTAAACTGAATAAATGTTTTTGATTATGACACCAACAAACCTTGATCCTTCCCTTCCTCCATGTACTGGTAGTCCTTTAACGTGTGAATGGCGAATATGTTCTCCTTGCACTGCATGGCGACCTTCTCAATGCCCGTCTTTATGAGGTATTCCATCAGCACGAGCGCTTTGTAGACGTGCCGCCAGGAGCTCCTTAAGCCCAATAAATTACTAGAACAATATCCAGAAACAAACCTTGATCCTTCCCTTCCTCCATGTACTGGTAGTCCTTTAACGTGTGAATGGCGAATATGTTCTCCTTGCACTGCATGGCGACCTTCTCAATGCCCGTCTTTATGAGGTATTCCATCAGCACGAGCGCTTTGTAGACATGCCGCCAGGAGCTCCTTAAGCCCAATAAATTACTAGAACAATATCCAGAAACAAACCTTGATCCTTTCCTTCCTCCATGTATTGGAAGTCCTTTAACGTGTGCATGGCGAATATGTTCTCCTTGCACTGCATGGCGACCTTCTCACTGCCAGTCTTTATGAGGTATTCCATCAGCACGAGCGCTTTGTAGACCTGCCGCCAGGAGCTCCTTAAGCCCAATAAATTACTAGAACAATATCCAGAAACAAACCTTGATCCTTTCCTTCCTCCATGTATTGGAAGTCCTTTAACGTGTGCATGGCGAATATGTTCTCCTTGCACTGCATGGCGACCTTCTCACTGCCAGTCTTTATGAGGTATTCCATCAGCACGAGCGCTTTGTAGACATGCCGCCAGGAGCTCCTTAAGCCCAATAAATTACTAGAACAATATCCAGAAACAAACCTTGATCCTTCCCTTCCTCCATGTACTGGAAGTCCTTTAACGTGTGCATGGCGAATATGTTCTCCTTGCACTGCATGGCGACCTTCTCAATGCCCGTCTTTATGAGGTATTCCATCAGCACGAGCGCTTTGTAGACGTGCCGCCAGGAGCTCCTTAAGCCCAATAAATTACTAGAACAATATCCAGAAACAAACCTTGATCCTTTCCTTCCTCCATGTATTGGAAGTCCTTTAACGTGTGAATGGCGAATATGTTCTCCTTGCACTGCATGGCGACCTTCTCACTTCCCGTCTTTATGAGGTATTCCATCAGCACGAGCGCTTTGTAGACATGCCGCCAGGAGCTCCTTAAGCCCAATAAATTACTAGAACAATATCCAGAAACAAACCTTGATCCTTTCCTTCCTCCATGTATTGGAAGTCCTTTAACGTGTGCATGGCGAATATGTTCTCCTTGCACTGCATGGCGACCTTCTCACTGCCAGTCTTTATGAGGTATTCCATCAGCACGAGCGCTTTGTAGACCTGCCGCCAGGAGCTCCTTAAGCCCAATAAATTACTAGAACAATATCCAGAAACAAACCTTGATCCTTTCCTTCCTCCATGTATTGGAAGTCCTTTAACGTGTGCATGGCGAATATGTTCTCCTTGCACTGCATGGCGACCTTCTCACTGCCAGTCTTTATGAGGTATTCCATCAGCACGAGCGCTTTGTAGACATGCCGCCAGGAGCTCCTTAAGCCCAATAAATTACTAGAACAATATCCAGAAACAAACCTTGATCCTTCCCTTCCTCCATGTACTGGAAGTCCTTTAACGTGTGCATGGCGAATATGTTCTCCTTGCACTGCATGGCGACCTTCTCAATGCCCGTCTTTATGAGGTATTCCATCAGCACGAGCGCTTTGTAGACGTGCCGCCAGGAGCTCCTTAAGCCCAATAAATTACTAGAACAATATCCAGAAACAAACCTTGATCCTTTCCTTCCTCCATGTATTGGAAGTCCTTTAACGTGTGAATGGCGAATATGTTCTCCTTGCACTGCATGGCGACCTTCTCACTTCCCGTCTTTATGAGGTATTCCATCAGCACGAGCGCTTTGTAGACATGCCGCCAGGAGCTCCTTAAGCCCAATAAATTACTAGAACAATATCCAGAAACAAACCTTGATCCTTTCCTTCCTCCATGTATTGGAAGTCCTTTAACGTGTGAATGGCGAATATGTTCTCCTTGCACTGCATGGCGACCTTCTCACTTCCCGTCTTTATGAGGTATTCCATCAGCACGAGCGCTTTGTAGACGTGCCGCCAGTTCTTGCCGTGGTCGTTGAGCCGCTTCCAAATCATCTGCATTATTTCGGTGAACGCCATCACGTTGTACGTGAGGTCGGCGATCTCCGCCATCAGGGTGCTGGAGGGGCCCCATGGGTCGTTCGAAGTTGCCTCGCGCACTTTCACCTGGAATGATGTATTTTATATATATATTAAGGTAGGCAAATGACTCTACCCCACCTGATGTTAAGTGGTAATAAAGTCCAAACGCGAAGATAGCTGGTACAGCAGTTATAAACTGCTTCACCAATCATCCTCACCTTGCCGGCCTGCAAAAATGCTTCTTCACGCCTCTCTTAAAGGACCCCGGATTATAGGAAGGAGAGAACACTTTCGCGGGTAAAGAATTCCACTTACGAATAGTACGACAAAGAAATGAGTCACCAAATTTCTTTGTTCGTGTAGGAATAGTGGCCACAGTAAATCGGTGGCAACGTAGGCCGAAGAAAAGGTGATGGAGGGATAATAACTCCTCAGAACACTCGTCGTGGTATAGACGATAAAATGCGCTTAATGATGCCACATCGCGGCGTAATTGTAGAGATAGTTTAGTTAGCAAGCCTTGGAACACCTCTAATAGGGACTATCCATGTTTCAGACACCAAAAATCAAGAGGTTCATTTCTGGGTTGTAGTATTGCATTGTTTAACAAAGTTCCCCAAGAACTGATTGAGCTTCCAATAACCAAATTTAAATCTCAGATCAAGAATTCCTCTTATGAATAAGGGCTATTATAAAGTTAATGATTATCTAAAAGATCGTAATGCATGGACATAGTGTTTCTTGTAATTTGTTATTTGATGGGTATTAGTCAGTTTTTGTAACTGTAATATGGTACCTTTCTAATGCCGCTTCCTATATACTAAATATAAAATTATTATTGTAACTGTATATATCTATATCCTAAATGATGTAATGGAAGGTGTAATGAAAAATGACTTCAGAGTTACTTCTGAAGTCATTTTTCAACTTGACTACTCTGTATATATCAATACAGGGAGAAAAAAGCAGCCCTTGCTGAGTTTCTTGCCGGTTCTTCTCAGTACAAGGTCTCCCACCGTAGTTTTGCGATCCGATGGCGTAGCTTCTGACCTTCACAAGTGCTTGTAACAGCCTAGACTGAATAAATGACTTTTCATTTCATATGACTATAATTTTTTTTCTTCGTTTGTCAGGTACAGGTCGTGTCACGTAATTCTAGCGCTGAACAAGCCGCGACAGGGATAGCTGCGCATGGGTACGACTGGAGAGACAATCGGCGTAACGCACGCCATGTTAATTTTTACTTCTGCGCAATGCAATAACGGTCAGCGTAGTTTCATGCCGCGACCAACGATATTAAATACCCTAGATATACACCAACACGACCAAAATCGTGCCCGAAAACTGTCCAAAAGGTACATTGAACGATCCACGGAGCTCCGTGAGATGATCGCGTAGTCAAAATCAATATAAGGCATTATTTAAATATTGAAAGTAACCTTTAATACATACTGTATAAGGTCTTAAATAAAACGCATGCGTCAAGGACTTCTGACAGTTCAAAATGCAAGCTCGTAAAATTTTACGACTTATTGCTATATGCGGTAGAATTTAGACCTTAGTTCTTTGACTCTACGCGCAATTCTGAACGCGCTGTTAACAATATAGCAGGCACGGACCGCGAGGAAAAGAGACGGCTATATGGCGACGCGACGTATAACCGACCATGCATTTGAACATCACAAATATTTTATTTTAAATCAGTTTATAGTAAGTATTAGACCAAAATTTACTTCAAATGCGTTAAATTAACAAACGATACCTGTCGAAAAAACGACACTTTTCGTACTCTAAATATTATTTTCGCATTTTCTCGCGGAGCGCTGTGGCATTTTGACTTCGTAACGGTCCGCACGTGACTATGAACCAAGAAGTGCTTGAGTGGAGTTCAAGCACTTGTTGATTGGGACACATTTTGAGCGCTCGTGTTGTATCTAGGGTATTTAATATCGTTGCTTTCAGTGGACAGATTTTGTGCAATGAACAGGCAGCCTAAATGGTCAGTTACCTGAGCATCAGAGTAGTTGTGCGCGAGATTCTTGATATTCCTTCTAAGGCCCGCCACGTTTACTTGCATATCGTCCCGACCACGGGGCATCTGCAACACAATAAGAGAAAATTAATACTTGTGATTTTACGAGTCTAGCCGTTCGCTGTGACGTACGTCACTATTAGTGTTTGTTATTTGTACATCAGTGGGTCCTTCTCATTTCTTATAAAGCATGATAAGTAAATATATAATATAAATATTTCCAACACTCACACCAATTAGCCTAGCCCCAAAGAAAGCACTGTAAGCCTTATGTTATGGGATACTAGGGTAACGGATAGAATACATGTACAGTACGTATATAAGTATATTTATATAGAAATACATATTAAACATCCATGACTGGAGTACAAATGCTCGTATTCATCACACAAACACCTGCCCCCACCGGGATTCGAACCCGAGACCTCTCGAGTCTCTCGAAACCTAGCGTACAAACCACTCGGCCACGGAGGTCGTCACGGACATAAGGACGAACTTTTGTCAAGTTTACATAAAGCAAACACGAATAACCCAGTGAAGCGCCGCCATAAATATTACATCTTTGACCTAGCTTTCTAAAATAGCGACATTTGTATAAAACATCTAAAACAGAGGTTCTCAAACTCTTTTGCCTATCGCCCCCTGTAAGCATCAGTTAATTTCTAGAGCCCACCAAAATCATTAACTTCATAAAGTTTTAAAAATAAGACAATTATTATAAAAAGATCTGTAAACTATTGAATAATATTATATCTAAAATGAATACTAAATGTGGCAGTTATAAATGAGGAGCTGGAGAGCAAAACGGTATAATTACATAAAATTAAATTTTACAGGCGCTGTACAAAACTGAATGACATACCTACAGTGAAGGTTTGACATGGTTTTTAATTTATACATTTAGTAATTTTAGCACTGTTTTAGGTAGTTTTAATTGAAAATTATTTGAGATTTAAATTCAAGGGGCCCAAAACCGCCGGAAAAATAAAAAGTAGTTTGACCAGATGCGTAATTATACCGTTTTGTTCGCCAGCTCCTCATATTATTGGCTTAGTATAATTGAAGATGGTCTGGCCGATACAATAGGGAGAGTGTATAGTAGTAATAAATTAGTACTGATGATGATAAAAGACAAAATATAAATAAACTCTATATAAATAAACTTATATATATTTAAATATTCTATCCGCTACCCTGGTATCCTAAAACACAAGCCTTATAGTGCTTTCATTGGGGCTAGTTTAATTGATGTGTTAAAAAAATTAATACGTTAACTGTTTTGCTGCGGAATAATACATTTCCGACCTTCAATAAACACACATGTAGGTTCAGGAACCGTTCGTTTTTGCTATTTCAGAATAGTTCACACAGCAGTATTCAAAACTATTTTTAATTTCAATAGCGTATTGTACAACTCATTCAGCACACCTAAAAATACAGGTATTTTTTTTGTATTTTTCGATTGTTAGTTTGTCTTATATATAATACAAACAATATCAAACCTAAAATTTTCCAAGACGCAAGGTGGGTAGGTACTTAATATTGTAGGAAATTTTGAAGATTCAACAGTGAGTGACATACAAAACCACTTTATTGTTACAGATAATTGAGCGTCCACTTGTCATTGGAGCAAGAGCAAGACGGTGACCGTGGCCTAAGGACGCTTGCACGACCAAAAGGGCAACAAAAGGGCAATTTCATTTATAAATATAGTACTTCTAAATACAGTACGAATTTACATCGAAATTCCTTGTTCTGTGCGTTTTATGACGCGTCTCCGGGAACCTACACAAAGAGTTTTATTTCGGGTGCTTGGCATTGCGTAGTAAACAAAGCCGCGTATTTGTTCGCACCAGAGAGACGGTTTTATTAGCGCGTGCGGTGACTGACCGTCCGTCCGGCTGTCCGTAGGCGACCGACATAGAGCACGAAGCTCTAAGATTCGGGGCTCGTTCACTAGTTTAGATAAAGCCGACATATCGCGATTATCTATCTATCTATCACAAAAGGAGCGTTGTCTTTGCCTACGCCAAATTTCAGAGCTGTCTTTTATTTTGGAGTTTGAATACGACTTGGCGACACTGGCGGGGCAAGACCTAAATTTGATGTGGGCAAGACAGATTTCGCGAGGCCCTGTTCTGTGGCGACCTGAAGACGGATTATATAAAATAATAAAAAGAAAAAAAATCTCTTTTAAGCAATGCATAAAAATTTTTGAGGCGCGAGGCCCCTCGTACCGCGAGGCCGTAGGCGGTGGCCCACGTCGCCCACGCCTTACGCCGCCTCTGCTTGGCGACTCATGAATCCGGGGTTAAGAGGAAACCTAAATTGCGAGTTGCTGATATACAGGCTATTTACCGCTTTTAAGGCTATAAAATACAGAAGTTGGAGGTGTAAGCGGTTTTTGGTATAGTTCGATTTAGCATGACACACACAAGCCTGAGCGGTGGTAGGGCGGCCATAGGGATGTCGAAAGTTGAAAAAAATATCGATATATCGATACATAGATATTTTAAAAAATATCAATATCGGCTTCGATATATCGCGAAAAAAACATCGATATATCGATATATCGGACCAATTTTCCCAAAAATATCGCTCACGAAATATGACACGCGGAATAATAATGGAACGAAAATTATCTCCCTAAAAATAGACCCTATTTTCGAATGATGACATATACAATTCTAAATACCGCACAGATCATAGATATGTTGTATATCATTAATCTGAGATCCAGTTAAGATTTTTCCAGATACGAATTTAGTTAGATCGTGATATGCCGCTTATAATTAAAAAAATATCGTTTTTGATATGAATTTCGATATTGGTTATTTTGTATCGATGTATCGATATATCGAATCAAAATATATCGGCAAAAAATATCGATATATCGAACAAAAAATATCGATATATCGATACATCGATATATTTTCAACAAGCCTAGGCGGTCATACCGGCGACGCTACTAAGCGGTGCGGAGGCGTTCGCTGTGACCGTTGTATTCCTTACAGTCACTTCACTCAGAGCAGCGGCAGCACGTTCCGGTGCATAGGCGTGCTGCTATCGTTTTATTCAGTTCTAAGTAAATTTTCTACAAAATTGTTCATCGAATTACAATGGACTATCAGACTCATGACGACCTCCGTGGCCGAGTGGTTTGTACGCCGGGTTTCATGGTGTCGCCGACTCGAGAGGTCCCGGGTTCAAATCCCGGTGGGAGCAGAGATGCTTGTGTGATGAATACGAGCATTTGTACTCCAGTCATGGATGTTTAATATGGATTTCTATATAAATATACTTATATATGTACTGTATATGTATTCTATCCGTTACCCTAGCATCCCATAACACAAGCCTTACAGTGCTTACTTTGGGGCTAGGCTAATTGGTGTGAGTGTTGGAAATATTTATTTATTTATTATTATTATTAGGTATTTTTGAAAACTTTCTCTACAAAACACGCGACGCCAAAACAGAGGAGTGCAGGTTTCAGCCTTTAGGGTTGTGTCCATTCTGTGGGCCAATCGCCTAACCAGATTGCTTTGGAAAACGCTATCGCTTACGATTTCATTTTGTTATTTCTAACCGCCGAAATACCTCACGCTCATTTTCTTTAACATTGTTATTACCAATGCAAAAGAAAAAAAAAGAGCGCGAGGCATTTGAAAACCTCAGGGGGCTAGAAATAACAAAATGAAATCGTAAGCGATAGCGTTTTCCATAGCAATCCAGTTAGGCGATTGGCCTCCTGGAATACTGACGATGGTGGTGAGGTGGACATTATTAGAATGCCTGTACCAAAAGATAAATAAAAACCGTAAGTTTTTGAAGCAAAACAAGAAATATAGTTGGGTTAAGGGACGACAATCCACTATGAGCTTCAAATCTCCCAGAGATACCCAAGTATATTGAGGCTTGAGGATTTACTCTCCAAAATATTCTTGCCAAACAACGTGCAAGCTTTAAAGGAATGAGTTACGTTCAAAAGATATTTTACGCAGATTCCACTGCAAGATTACTTTTAACGCAGAGAATTCGTAAAAATAGATCTCATTATTTGAAAGGGCGTTTTCTGTAAGGTAAATTAATATATATTAATTCCCTAGACATGCGCTATTCGAGAGGTCAAAATTCACGCACGTACGAATCCATTGGGAGTAGTGCCATCTTTAAAATTGGTCATTTAGGACAAGGAACTCAGATAATCCCAACATAAACAACAGGTTTTAGGTCACAAATATAAGCAGCAGGTTAACGTCCTTTGTCATTGTTATTTTGACAAATAAAATGCAAACCTGATAAACAGAGCATTTTTGTAAAAAGAATCGTCGCTCGATTTTTCACAAACATTGTGCTTTCGAACTCGGTGTAATCAGCAGATCTATAAATAAATAGGACACATCCAAAATATAACATCTGCGCACGTATCGTGTTGATAACATTACAAACACGGCATCAAATTCATAACGTGAAAAAAATGGCTATTCGGTACCTATAATGCTTACCAATATATTAATCAATTTAATAATAAGGTACTTTTTTAGAAAAATGAAAATAATAAATAAATTTATATATTATAGAAACGAATAAATGATATTCATTTACATTAAATTAGAATCTGTCTACCGTATACCGTAAAGTGGTACATATATAACTAGAGATATTTTTAAAAATAGTTTATCGTACAGCTTGTGTAATACCTAAATTAATTACATCCGTCTGTCTGTCAGCGAGCTTTAACTCATAAACCTTAAATATATTATAATTATAAATTTACAGAATTTTATTTCTATTGCCGCTATAACGACAAAAATCATATTTTTATTAGTATTCATAAAAAACGTGAATTCTTCGACGTTTTTGCTCGGCCTAGTGTTAAAACTACAAATACTGTACGCAACCACATCAGCACACCACCTGTGAAATAAAGTGTGCGTGGAACTCGCGTTACAATGAGCTATAGACTGCCAGAACTAGATACTAACTACATAATCTATACTAATATTATAAAGCTGCAGAGTTTGTTTGTTTGAACGCGCTAATCTCTGGAACTACTGGAGGCC